GACAAGAATGAAGACAACCCAACCTCTTCTGGTTGGTGGAGTTTTTTTCTCTTTTTTTTCATGTAATTCTCCATTGTTGGAAAAAATAGGTACCACACCCCCGAAAAATCTTTCATGTCCCTGATGTTCTGCTAACCTTGCTGCTGCTCTGTGGAAGTGAGGGCCATCTAAAGGTTTTATAGCAAATTTTTATATCTGAAAAGTTGAGAAATTAAAGCACATTGAACCAGTGTGTTTTAATTGATGTTGTACTTTGAGAAACACAGCTTTTGCAGCAGCTTGCAAGTCTGAATGTCAGCTCCAAGCGTGGTGATTGCTGCCATAACCAGGCTCATTAACTGCAGCAGAATTACTTGTGATAATACCCACTCCTCACCCATAGGAAGATTTTCCCACATGCAGCACTGAATTTAGCATAGAATAAGGAAATAGAGTTTGGCTGGTGGAACTTTAAGGGAAAGGTTATACATTTTTTTTCACATAAGTATCTCATTTTGCTGTTCACACCACTGGTCTTTGATCAAATTAACATTTTACTGTAAGTAGGAGAGCACTCGGTTCATGCTATTCATTATCTTGTCAGGAAACAAGGAGAATAATTTAAACTGGATATATTGTGTAAGGCTTTTTTTTTCTATTTTTAATTGGAAACCACACAGCAGTGTTATCATTGTGACCTCCTGGCTCCACTGTGAGCAGTACAATATTTACCTGCTGTATGAAGGAAAATGGAACTATTTTGAAATATTTTGTTACCAGGGAGGTAGTTCTGTACTAGAAAACAGCGGTGTAGGAATTAGAAGGAGTTGTATGACTGAACTATGCTGAAAAATAGGATTTTGGGCAGTATTGGATTTGCATGAGCTTCATCAAGGCCATTAGTGTGGCTGTCACTGGTCATTGAGGGGTTTTTTTTAGGCTGTGCATAGGATTTGGGAGTAAGAAAGCCAGAGTTTTAATACTGGCTGGTGAAAAGCAACTGTGACATATCCAGTACCTAAAGGGGCTCCAGGAGAGCTGGAGAGGGACTTGGGACAAGGAATGGAGCTCCAGGACAGCAGGGAATGACTTCCCACTGCCAGAGGGCAGGGCTGGATGGGATATTGGGAAGGAATTGTTCCCTGTGAGGGTGAGGAGGCCCTGGCACAGGGTGCCCAGAGCAGCTGGGGCTGCCCCTGCATCCCTGGGAGTGTCCAAGGCCAGGCTGGACAGGGCTTGGAGCAACCTGGGATAGCAGAAGTGTCCCTGACCTGGCCAAGGTCCCTTCCAAACCAAGCCTTTCTGTGATTCTGTGGCTATCTCTGTATTTCTCAGCTGAAGTGGAACAGTTTCACACAAACAGAAGGTTTTGTGAACTTTCCAGTGGCTCCAAGTTGTGCAAGATTCCTCGGGTTTAGCCATTTTCCATACTGGGCGCCTGTCTCTGGCTGCACTCTTTATTTCTTACTTCAGGAAAAATCGTTCAACCATTTCTAAGGACAAGATTAGGAAAAAGAAAATCCATTTTCTCCCAGATGTTACGAGTTTTTCTTGCTGTTTTGCTGGGGAGCCTGCTGTGCCAGATTTAATAGAAAGGGTTTGACGAGGGATGGTTCGCTTTTTTCTCAGGGTTGTATCTTCTGTTGCTTCAAGTAAAAAAGTTTTAAAAAAAATAAATTGAAAAACAGCCTCAACTTTGGCCAGCCTGTAAGAGTCTGGAAAAAAGAGTTCACAGAAACTCAGCAGAATCTGGTTTGAGTTTGTTCAGGCTTTGCTGTCGGTGCCTGTCCCAGGCACGCTGCAGTCTGGCACTGCTGGGTGAACATTAACCAGGCAGGTTTCGCTTTTTCTGGGTGTGATGTGAGGTTTTGGGGGGGCACAGGGAGGGGAGAGGCTGCCCAGGCTGCTCCTGCCACAGCTGGAGACATCAGCATGGGAGCAGGACAGGGAGAGGGGTTCGTGGTGGGGAGGGAATGGGGACAAACACTGGGACAGGGACACTTGGAGGACCTTTTGTGAGCACACTTGGAGAAGAAGCAACAAGGAGAAGAGGAAGGAGGAAAAGAGGAAGGAGGAGAAGAGGAAGGAGGAAAAGAGGAAGGAGGAAAAGAGGAAGGAGAAAATCGTGGGGGTAAGGCTCATTCTGGAAGTTTGTGGATGTTCATTAGGTCGTGTGAGGTATGAGCTGGGGTTTGCCTGCCTGGAGCTGAAGGCGCCGTGGAGCACAGAGAAGACAGAAATGGTGCTTCCAGCAGCCAAAATGAATTAGCAAGGGGACAGAGTGACAAGCAGAGAGGGGTGGCAGTGGAAGAGGCAAACCCAGAGGGTCTGGCAGGGGAGCAGCACTGCAGCCACTGCACGGAGCCTCGGCTCAGGAGTGGGCAGAGGCAGCTCCTGCCAGGCTGGGAGCCTCCAGCCAGGGCTGCCGTGCAGGGAGATGTGCCAGGGGCTCCAGGAACCCAAAGAGGTGCCAGTGCAGTCAGTAATGTCCTGAAGCACTTCTGGTGGTGCAGCACAGCTCCTTTGAGGAGCAGGTTAATGCCATCAGGGGAGCAGATGAAGTGCAGGGGTCACACACGGAACAAGAGGACAAAGCAGAAGATCCACTCACCAAGCCACGTTCCTGGATGGGGCAGGGGATCTTATTGGGAAAATGTCATTGGAAAAGCCACAGTAGGTCCTGTGTGCTGCTATCCCACTCCTGAACCCTCACACAGGGTGGCTGAGCACCAGCCTTGGGCTTGGCTTTTCCAAACTTGTAAGTGCTCAAATTTGAAACTACCGTTCTTTTAACAGGGCTTTGTGTGTCATTTATAATTTATATTGCGATAGCACCCAAAAGTGCTTTCCAGACACTGAGCACATCTGTAATTCTGGCTCTAAAAAGCTTCCATTCTGTGAGAGGCGAATAAAAAAGAGGAAAATTGACCAGCATTTCCCAACTAGAATTGCCCAGAGTTTGTGCTGATGTATTTTTAACAATGCCTAGTATGAAATCTTGTCTGGTATTATTCCGAGGATCACAACAGGTGTTGGGAATTGGCTGGGGAGGCTGTGCAGAAAGGGCAGCTGACAGCTCACTGTATATGCAGATGTACCACCTATTAGCAATATCCTCTGTGGTTTGCTCGCATGCGAGCTGAATAGATTCTCCAAACAATGCTGCGCTGAATGGAAGCCATCAGCAGAATTGCTCAAGGCTGCAAAACCCATTACTTATACAGCATAGATGGAAGAGCAAGTGCCACAGTGTAGTAACTTGTCCTGCTTTGCTGGAGTTGTTCTGCAGTTATTAGATCAATATATGTAGCTGCACATCTAATAAAGTACCAGAAAATAATTTATCTCAATGTGTATTGTTAGCTCAGTATTTATCCTGGTATTATCCAGCTGCATAAACAACATAAATCGCTCTTTTTGTGCCTTTTTTTGCTGCTGCTTCCACGTTTTCCAAGCACACAATAGGTTGTATCCCCTGCCCTGATTATTGGAGCCACGTCACTGTACTTTTTACAATCACATTTTAATTACAGCTGTAGAACCTATGCAAAATCATTTAATACAATGTTGTGAGCAAATAGCGCAGATGATGCGTTTAGTATTTGATTGCTGTTAGTTTACTCATTGATTAAACATGCAGAGTCTGCTTTGACTGGTGAGGAAGTCAGAGACCACACACACACAGGGCTATAGGGCTTATTCACTGGAGGGTCTACATTTTCTATAGATTTTATATTTGCTATAGATTTTATATTCATTATAGGTTTTATATTTCTGTAAGTTGTACATTAGCTATAGCTTCTATATTCACTATGATTTTATATTCACTACAGGCTTTCTATTTGCTCTGTGTTCTATATTCACTATTTCAGATGACCTAGGTTTTCCAAAGGATTAGCAAGGAATCTGTGGCAGTTTGGGTGGCTCAAAAATGACAGTGAGAATCCATTATTCCATGAAAGAAGGGATCCATCAGCTGGTCAAGGAGAATTTTGAGCTTCACTGGTGGCAGCTGATGGGTTTGGTAGAATTGGAGACAGGTCTTAGAAGTGGAGAGAGAAAATTATTTTGGCTGTTTTCAGAAAGCACAGCATGATTTACGTGGAGTAGCCCAGGCAAAAAGCAGTGATTACTCAAGGAGGGAAGCAGTGTGGTTTTATAACAATAAAATACATTTTTTTTAAGAAGAGAGAAGACAGTCTTGCCAGGAGGAGTGTATATTGTAAGAGAACCAGGTTTTGTTCCATTTCTAACAGAAGCTTACAGACAGTTATGAAAAGGACTTTGCTGCTATTTATTGCCTGAAGTTACTGATCCATCTGTCTCTACCCAAACTCTCATACAGATAATTTTTCCTCATCATTCTCTCTCCTTTCTATTATTACTCAATATTTAGATGGGAATTTTGACCAGTGGCCAAGTCAGAGGCTTATCAGCTATTGCGTAAATCCTCAGCAGCTGGTAACTGAGCTGTGCAATATTGTCATTTCAGGGTTAAATATTGTTGAATAAATAGACCTGCTGAAAGAACAGAATCTAACAATTCATGTTTTAGGGAATAATTACTGCAGAAAGACAGCCCACAACATTGTATGTGTGTTTGAGAGAGTGGTCAGAATATCTTTTAATTCAGCATTTACCCGTGAGAATTATTCCCATGAGGAGCCTTGCAATAAAATCTGCTTGGTCTATGAGAATAGAAAGAAATTGAATAAAAAGACTCCATTTCCACTTGTATTTATTCAGTCTGGGAAATTCAGTGGGCCGCAGCATTAGTATCAGCAGGGGATTCCTTGCTCCTAGCGTTAAATTACTGTCATAATCGCTCAATTATTTCTTCCTTGTACTGTTTAAAATAAAAATCCATCACATTCTATGTTTTTTTCTAACATTTATTAGGTTGAGTGTTTAGGAAAATCAATTATATTCAGTCAGGCATGAATTGATGAATGTTCTTGTAATAATTGTCAGTTGTTAAACTGAATGTACTTTCTCTTTTCACCCCTTTTCATTTCCTTCAGAGGGCAGAGGTGGCTCAGAGAGAGGCAGAGACCTTAAGGGAGCAGCTCTCATCAGCTAACAAATCTCTCCAACTTGCTACGCAGATCCAGAAGGCACCTGATGTGGTGAGGGAAAATATTTACTGACTCTTACAGGTTTCTGACATTCCTGCAGTACAGCTCCTTCAGTTCATGCCCACAGCTATAAAAACAGCTGTTTGAAGCCGTATTTTAACTAAAAGGGATCGGTGTTCCTTCGGGATTGTGGTGGGGTTCCTCTTCTGAGGGGGTTGGTGGCTGGAGGAGACCGTGGGAAGGACAGAGGTCACTTGGTGATCCATCACTGCCTGCTCCAGGTGGACAGCACAACTCTCAGAAATCATTTCACATGGCTGAGAGCATGGGCACAGGAGGACCAGAGGCAGTGGGAGAGCCTTGGTGGCCATCAGCACATGGGGCTCCATCCCAGAGCTCCCTGCCCACTCTGCCTCTCCTCACTCCTGTCTGGGCTGTCACAGAAACTGGAAATAAATTTGATACCACTCCAGTTTTCACTGGCTGTATCTAAACTGAGACTTGCACCTATAAATCCTTGGACAATTGAGAGGATACCCTGTACTCCTGCTTGTTTTCCTCCTCTGTGTGGCTCTGAAATCCCAAGGCTGCTGATGGGACCTGCAGGCACAGGGTGCTGTTACAGGGCTCCAGCTGGCCCTGGCTGAGCAGGTATCACAGATGAGCAGCCAGATCATTTTGAGTTTTGTTTGCCAAAGGAGAAATAGGAGTATTTAAATGTAAATATGCAATTAAGTGAAATTTAGTCTACTTCTAAGCAGCAGATTTAAGAAACAAAAGAAATCATTGCTTTTTTTTTCCTTGCAAGCTTTATACGTGCTTGACACTGATAGCAGAGGAACACATGGCTGCCTTTAAAAATCATTTGCAGAGAACGAGTAACAAACCATAAGTCCTCCAGATCTGTTTGGTTGTCTATTAATACAACCCAGTATTTTCTCAGAGAAGTCAAAAGATAGACAAGTAGGCTGCAAAACAAAAAATAAAAAGCCTGAATATCACTTGTAACTCTGAATTACCTGCCTCTTCCTATCTCGTGTCCTAGTCTTATCATTATTTTAACATTAGGTCTTTCTTGTATTTAATAGTACTTCTGCACTTCATTTATATTTAATATGACAACTACTGCAGGATGAAAATGATCATTATCTATCTTATTTCAGACTCTACGTTCTAGTCTCAATAGGCACAAGCAGCAGATGATTATACAACTTGTGATGTTTCATGCAAGCAAATTAGAGGTTTTTTCAAGTTAAAAGTGTAATTCAGTGTAATAGGAGAGCGTTGTTAACTGCTGTTCCTACATGCAGCTTTCTGTGAGTGCAGCGGGGTGTAGTCACTGAGAATCAAGCAGAATGTTTAGGAGATACGGAAAAGGGGATTTTGTTGTTCCTGTATTCCCAGAAAAGAGGATATGGAGTATATTTCAATCTGCTGTAGTGTCATCTTCATTTATCAGGATGAAGCTGGGGTGAATTCTCAGCTGTTTCACCACAGATCTTTGGTTTAGTGCTCGCCATCTTCATCTCCCTCTTGCTGAATGGGTTCTCTCCTCCTTCACTGGTGCTTCTGAGGAACAGCCATTAACCTTTGTGAGATGCAGTTTGGGGTCTTTAATGGAATGTGTGCCCCCACACTGGCACAAGGCTTTCCTCACCCTCCCCACGGAGGAGGCTCAGAGCTCCCTGATGCATCACAGCTGAAATCTCCCAGCACAAAAGTAGACAGAGATGGTACAATTAGTCTCTATTCTCTTTTCTGAATGCATCTGCCTTCTGCTGCGCCTCTCTGTCCTCTCTGATTCCTTGTCCTCTCAAGAAATCAGTCCAGAGAGGAAGTTCCAGACTTGAGGACAGATTTTACAGCTGTGGAAAACTGGAAGAAGGAAGATTTAGGAAAGGGAATTTCTCAAAGTGGTGACCAAAGGGAGAATGGCCTTGTCTTAGAGCTGTCACATCTCTCTTCTTCCCCGTGGAGGGATGCTTGCAATAATGTTAACATGAACAATTTTCATGCAAGGAGCAAGTTCATTGGAAGTAGCAGTTTGGGGCAATTTTTGACAATTTTGCCTGAAACGTGCAGTGTGCATGCAGAGAGCCACAGGCACATGTCTCTGCCGTTCCTGATTAAGAAATTCTGCTCCATTACTTCAGAATATTTTATCTGATTAGTATTTTGTAAGCACAGATTTTCATAGTTGTCAAAGCATTTGGGCTATTAATAATAAATAGATCTAAATAGAATCCTTTGACTTTCACGGCTGCATCTTTCCAGTGCACTTATGAAATAGGGAAATTTATTCCCTCTGTTATCCCTGTTTTCCCAGAGAGCTGTCCTGGGCTGCAGGAAGTTCCATCTTCCAGATTCCCAAGGTCAATCACAGGAGTCCCAGATTTAGGAACTGTCTGTTTCTTGTGCCACCCAATGCCGTGTTTGCTCCCTGAATTCAGGAGGAGGGAATTCAAGCTACCCTGAATTCAGGTTTGTTGCCTTTCCTTCCTTTTTGTGGTCTGATCCTCTTTTCCCCCCTCCAGGAGCAGGCCATCGAGGTGCTGACACGCTCCAGCCTGGAAGTGGAGCTGGCTGCGAAGGAGCGCGAGATCGCCCAGCTGGTTGAAGATGTCCAGAGACTCCAGGGCAGCCTCACCAAGCTGAGGGAGAACTCCAGCAGCCAAATCTCCCAGCTGGAGCAGCAGCTGACAGCCAAGAACAGCACACTCAAAGTAAGGCTCAGTTGTGCCCAAAGGATTTCTCAGAGCTGGTGATATCGGGGTTTGCTGGTGTGAGTTTCATTGGCTTCTTCAGGGTGTGGCTGAATTCTGGTTTCTGTGGCATTCATGAATCACAGAATGATTTGAGTTAGAAGGGACCTTCAAACCCATCCCATTCCACCCCCTGGGTGTATTGTTTCCTAAGGGATCACATGTTTTTTAAATTCTAAATGGCCCAATCCTTACTGTTCTGAAATGTGTTTTTGCAGAACAAGGCTGCCTTTAGGATTACAATCACCACCAAACCCCAGCATACATTGACCATGGATATGTAATGAAACTGAAAAGGCACAGAAAATCCCTCTTAGATTTTCCAACTTTTAATTCCCATTCCATTTATACATCTTGAAGATTTGCAAGGAATTGGTTTATCTTTCAATTTCCCTGCTACCCCATCCAGTTCTCACCACTGGAAATGGAAAGTGTATTATTTAGGAGATAGAAACAAGTAAAATCAGGACATGGAGAAGGCTTTTAGCTTCAATAAGCATTTAATTATTTTTTAACTGTGTATTTGCTGCACAATAATTCCCATTTATAATTAGCAGTCTGGCCCAAAATCATTTGCATAGGAGCAGTACTGCACTAAAACCAGAAGGAACAGCTAAGAATTCTCTGAATGACCCTTTTACCTCTCTTTTGGGCAGTTTCACCCTCCCTGTGCTGAGCCCACACAGTTCTGATCTCTGAGTGAGCATGAGAAATGTTTCCTGACGTGGGGTATGAATCAGTTTCCTGTAACTCCTGTCTCCCTCATTGTTCCACCATCTATGAGCTCTGAAGTGTAAACAAGATAAATTTATCTATTCCATTAAAGACCTGGTAATTCTGCAGGTTTGATAGTCTGAGAGTTTTCTGAGAGCAGGAGGCTGATAGTTCCCACTCAGCTCTGACTGTGGCGTGGGCAGCTTTGCTCTATCAGAATGATTTAATGTTCAATTGAAACTCTTACAAATTGCTCTAATTCTGACATTTTTTAGCAGTTACTGGTTTTGCTGTGGTGGAGCATAATTCACATGGAGAGAGACCTGTTAGGAATGAAAGCTGAAGTGTTGCAGTCAGTGTTTTCTGCATGTTTGAAGCCAGCTTTGCAGAATTTTTATGAAAATTCAGTGGAGCAAAGGACACCTATTATGTAACTCCATTGACAGTATCAGTCTCTGCCCACCTGTCACCATTTGGGCACCACTTTTATTGAGGGAGAAAGGAGCTGCCCTGGTTTTGAGGGACACTTTCTGCTGGCTACACCCTTGCTCAGGGGATTTTTTTATTTTACTTTTTCATAAAGCCTGATAGAAAATATCTTGAGTCCTTGCACTTGACAGATTTTCCTGGAATAAAGCATGTTCCTGGTGAGGTCAGTATTAGTTTAGCCATTAACTTCAAAGGGAGTAGGATCACAGAAATGACAGAGCAAGTCTTTGATTTCCATTTCAGTAATCTCCTTCCATTTTCTCATAGCCTTGCCTGGCTAATGCTCTGCATTTAGCTTTCTGTTGATAGTGTCTGATGTAGTACCTCTATTGATAAAGTTTTAGTCATTTCAACCCTCTTTAACCTTATTTGTTGTAACTATAAAAATATTTCCAAATACTTACTTTCACCCCAGAGTGCTGGGAAAGGCCAGGCACACAAATCTCAGTGATGATGTGCTGATCTCCTGTTTGATTATGGAGGAATTGCTTCTGAAATAACAGAGATTTTAATGGTTGCCTCCACAAAAAACAACTCACAGTTTCACAAATTAAAGCAATGTTCTCAACCTGTATCTTGAGGGAATTGTTTAATACTCTGTGACTTAATGAAACAATACAGAAATACTTTCAAAATTATTGCTTCTTTATCTTCATCTGATCTAATAATCAAAACATGTCCTCTAGTAACAAGACTTTTCTCACTCTAATTGTATTAACCCTTTGTGGCTGGATGCTAGAACATCCCTGCTACCCAGTTAAATTCCAATAACGTGAGTTGATCACTCTAAACTGAACTACAGTGTTAATCTAATGGTTATTTAAATGTTTTAAGCCCCTCAATACAGCCCCTGCTATTTATCTATGCCACTTCAGTTAAGAATACAATAGTGATTGTCTTTTCTAAGTAACATGAGGAGGGACCCAATCTCTGCATGCTCTGACATGGATTCATTCACACCACAGATACAAGATGATTCTTTAACATAGGATATTTGCAAATTTAATGTGCAGAAAAGCCACTAGTCCATTCCTTCTGCCCTCTGGCTCCTGCATTTTTGTGTGTTGGAGGTCATTGGAATATATTTTGTCTGAATTAACCAGGTTGATATTTAGTGCAAGATATTAGTTCCTCCAGATTGTCTCACAGCTTGAACCTTTGTTATCCTGTGTTCTGTGCATTTTACAGGGTTCTTGGAGACAATTACCATACTAATACATTTTAAAACAGTCATTGACTGGGAAGATGCCAAGTGCCTAAATGTTCTGTTTCCACACAGGCACTGCATCCTCAGTTGTTAGTTTATATTGTTTACTAAAGTAGATGTTTAGGTGCAGATTTTCCATGGCAACAATCTCTATATTAGGTACTTGGGAATGATGGATGTGTGTGGTTTTTATACAATCCAAAGTAAAATATTGCTGGGTGTCATACTGCTGTACCAGCACACAAGTACCTGGGAGTCCAAAACAGCTGCATTTTGTCAATATATCTTTTTTTACATTATTTTTCTACCTGTGTATTGTGCCTAAATTTTCCAGAAGTACCCTACCAGGGTATAGCACTTCCCTGCACAGGATTATATTTAATACAGATTGAATTAAAATGGGAATCATTAGCTTTTCTGCGGTTTATACCTGTTTCTACAAAAGGCTGTTTTCTTAGCATACCCTTGCATAAGTTACATATTAATCCAGGATATTATTTGTTTTAAATTTCTTCTGGTGCTTTTTATGCTGAGAACTGGTATAAATTGCCAGTTATTCCTGCTCTAAAAGCTCCTCTGCTCCAGACCCAAAACATTACAAGTCACAGAGTTATGGAAAGGGTGAATTGCAGTGGATTTGTAGAGCACCAAACAGAGACAGACAGACAAAATGACAAAGACCAAGGAGAGCAGAAGGATATCCTGGGATTTGGCAGGTCCTCCCATTACCTCTGACCACTTGCAAAATTCTCAGCTGTGATGCTGAGTCTCCTCCCAGTACCAAGGGCTCTCTGGCTCACTGGTTTCATTTAAAGATCCCTCCCCAGCCTGACCTGATGCAATAAAAATTCCACCTGGATGCCTTGTTGGAGTCACTGTGTTTTGCTCAGTGAAAAAAACTCTAAAACTTGCCCTGTATTTAATCCAGGTGAAAAAAAACCTGTTACAAACCACTGTTGTAACTAAAACAGACACTTTATTTTTCTTTTTAACACAACTGGAATGACTGCACGAGGCACTGATGACAAAAGACGCTGGGACACGAGACCTTTTTAAGAGGCCACTCATTTCATCAGTGCCCCAGAGAGTGCAAATTCCTCACTGAGCAGCAGTTCCTGTGATCCATTAAGAGCTGCTCGTTGAGCAGGGCCTGGCTGTTCCTGCCAGGAGATTCCTGTGGGCAGCAGTGGTGAGGATGCTGGGCTGTGGTGTCAGACAGCAGGAACAGGACCTGGAGAGGGCTGTGTGTTGAAAACGTGGGTGTCCACTTTGTCACTGCTCCTTAATATCCACATTAATGGCAAGGCAGAAATGTCAGCAGTGTGAGAGCTGCAAAGGGCTGGGTAGGAAATCCTTTAAAAAATGGCAGAATAGCTGGAGGTCCCACGAAGCCCCACCATGCTGCTGTTGGCATCTGGAAAAGCCTCATTTAAATTACTGAGATGACTCAAACCACGGATTCACTGTCCTGTGGGTGTTCTGCTGCATCATTTGGGTACAGCTCTGAGGTGAGTGATACCCACACGCTGACTTACTGGGGAAGACAGCACAGGGAACAAGTTCCCAATCCTGCCCCAGCCCTGCCTCCATGCCCCCACAGCTGGGCTGCATTTTAAACAGCTTTGCTAAAATAATCCAAGTCCTCATCAGCCCTCCTGTGCCCTCCTCCTGCATCCAACAAGCAGCCCCAGAGTGGATGTAGGATCTTGAATTCCCTTCTCCCCTGAAGGCAGCCTCTCCAGGACATAAAGTCCTATTTTTCTTTTTCATGTCATATACTCCTTTCCTTTTCAAAGCAGATTCTCTGTCTTTGAGGTGATAAGTCCTTGTGTTATTTCTGTTTCCCGTGACCTTTGGGATTCTGTGCCAATTCTAACACCAAGAATGAACTGAAGCAGAGCTAGCCTGAATTTATCCATGCAAGTTGCAAGCCAGTTAAGTTCTGTTCCTTGCTTAGATCAGGTGTGCCTGCACTAAGCAAAGAAATTATTGAGATGAATGTGGCTTCTGCAAGCAACGTAACAGCATCAATTATGTATCACTATGTTTTAGGCCTCCTGAAGCATTTACCCCGTAGTGATGAGCACTTTGTTGGGAGCTGGGTAAGGTCCAAGTGTGTGGCATTGCGTTCTGGATTGTGGCAGCGGGTTTGGTTCAGCCTTTGGGGCATCCTCACACCCAGGAGAAGCCACTGAGGCTGCCCTGGGTGGGGCAGAGCAGAAGGAGCTGCTGGGGTGGCCTCAATTCTCCCTCTCTGGAGTGTAACCACAGCAGTTCCTGCAATCAGTAACGCTTGTAAAACCTCCTGGTACAGCTGTTTTGTTTGGGCACGAGGTGCTGTAGGAGCCTTCCAAGCCTAAGGCATTCCAGTCAACAACAGCTTCTTCAGTCTGTTCTTTTTATCATGTAGATAAGGTTATCAAGAACTGTCCTATTAAGAATACAGTATGTGCCAAAGCATCCTGCTTGTTTACTCAATCTCCCTGAAAATTTCAGCTGCCCCATTTTTTTTAATACCTTCATGCCCAATCTCTTCCCTGAACACACCACAGTGACATTGCAAACAGCCAAATTGGGACCCACCGAATTCTGTCATGCTTGGCACTCTGTAAACAAAGGATGAGCGAGGTATAATTGTGTTTACGTTTAATTGGTTATAGTTTGTTTTCTAATATATGTAAATTAGGTATGAGTCATTAACCCTCACTTGTGCGCTGCTGTATATATGGAATAATTTGAAGATGATTTTCAAAGCCTGCAGAAAAAAAAAACAACAATGTAAATAATTAAATCCATGTTTTCTCTTTTAAAGCAACTGGAAGAAAAACTGAAAGGACAGGCTGATTATGAAGAGGTTAAGAAAGAATTAAAGTAAGTGTTAAATGCTTACATAATTTTTTTCACAAACTCTGGTTGAACAGTGCTTGTTAAATGAAGCCACAAATCTGTGTTCTTGGAACAATAAAGAATTCAGTCAAAACCACAAAGACAGGGAAATTGGGAATATTGGCAGGAATTGCATCCAGAACCAGTGGAGCTGCCATATCTGAGAGTGCTCCTTTTTGTTGCAGCAGGGGATCACAATAGCAACTAAAACACGTGTCCACAAAGAAAAGCCACTAAAACTATTGTCCACAGAGGGGAAAAAAGTTACAAAATCTGTGGTGTTTCAGGTGGACCACTCTTTAAAAATCTCCAGCCAACAGCTGAGGGTAATGTGGACCAAAAATGTCACGCAGAGCCTTTGGCCATGGTACCTTTTCTCTGCTCCTGCCAGCCAGTGTTCAGCACTTACCAGTTTAATGCTGGGCTTGTTTCACTGTATATTTTTGCTAATACATTGTGGTTTTAAACTAAAGCCACAAACAGCCTCTTCCTATTTCAAGGGATTTTCTTTAGAGACTTAAAGGAGCCTCATTTTAAACTATAACAAGATAAGCTGTCAGGTTCAGAAGAGAACTTTTCTGACTGGAAATATGTTTAGTGTCAAGGTTTAAATAACTGCAAGAAACTCCCATCTCTTCTTTCATCATTCTGGCATTTCTGTGTGTGTTTTAAAAAGGCTGAAATAACCCATTCCCTGGTTTAATGAGGTATTTCAGATGAGGCTGGTAGTCATGTGCTTTTGTTTACACATCCCTGGAGAATATGGAAAGCAGATTTGGATTTGCAAGCCCCACAACTGCCCAGCCCCTGGTGCTGATTTATTCAAGCCATGCTGGCTGAGGTTCTGGTTCACCACCAGCTGCAGCACACCCTGATGTAGGGGTATAATTTTCATTTAAATTAAATGAATAGACCATTTCTTTGGTCATTTTACCTGATTATTACCTGGGTTCAAAATAGCATCATCAATTAGTGATTAGGGATAAATACACCCATGTCCTCTCCTGAGTTAAGGAAACAGCTTCAGGTTTTAGCCACTTTATGTCCTCATATGCAAAGCAGTGAATGGGAATAAGGCCACAACCTTCCAGCTTCTTACATTAGATATTAAATGTAAATGTGCTGAAACAACAAATGAGTTTTGAATCCTACCTGGTTTAATGCAAAGGTTTAATACAACAGGACCTGGACTTTAAAGCCAGACTCAAGGTGCCAAGAACCCAATATACTCATTCAATATACTCATTTTAGCTTACTTTGCATTTGTACTTTAAATACAAACCCTGTATTTCTGGTGATAATACCAATATTTTAATTTTTTTTTTTATTTTTACAACACTGGCTTACATAAGGACAGGGATGGAAAGGCAGATGAGGGGAGCTGTGACACAGGAGGCTTCATACAGTGCTTCTGCTCAGGATGAGCCTGCGGTGAAATAAATGGGAGACTCTCCTGGAAGTGGCCCTGGTTGGGTGCCAGTAAATTAACCCTGTTTTCCCAGCTGTTCCAGCTTTTATATCCCTAATTTGTGAATTGATAGCTGGCTTGTAAGGACCCTGGGGTCCATCATCATCCTGTGGGATGGTCTGAGGGTTGAGACTCTACGAGAGAGCACTGAGGATGTTTGCAATGCTGCATCTCCCAAGCAGCTGCATCACACCATTCCCATGCTCCACCTAATCCAAAAGGTGTGCTGAAGGCTAAATGTGCATCCCCTGGCAGTGACACTCTGATCTGAAGGGAGACTTGCTGTAAATGAGACTGGGAGAAGTCTGTTGCTGTAAATCTGGAGCCCTCACACTGAGTCCTGCTGCACCTGCCTGAAACACTGACAGAAATGAACTGCTCATAACATTTGCACCAAGAGAAAAGAGATTTTGTCAGTAAGGCAAGGAAGAGGATGAATTTTTTATGTGTTTTGGCACTGTTGTATTTTCCTTAATCCTTCCTGGGATGTTAGAGACATTCTAGGCTGAGGGGTCTCAATATCAGCCAACTTCTAACTCTGGAGGAACTTAGGTGGGCCCATGTCAAGATCTGGCATGGGAGGTTTCTTCACTTTCTGCCCTGGCTTTTGTGCCCAATGCTTTTTAAACCTATTTTTGAGATCTGAGAGCTCTGTGTGTGCTTTCAGTTCCCTCTCGAGTAGCACGACAGCGCTGACCCTGCTGCCTTTGCAGTCGGGATCAGACGAACAGAAAGTCGAGCTGTCCCAATGCACACTTTGCTTTACAGTCAGATCTTTCAAGTCTCCTTAGATGTGCAGATTCAAGTCACAAGATCATTCCTTTAAAAAGCAGGTAACTGATCTTGAGCCATAGATTGAGTCAAGATCTCATGGGCAAAGATATTCCTGGAATCCAAAGAAGAAACGTTGTGCTTCCTCATATTCCTGAGGAGAATGTGTCTTTTGTGACACATTTGGAGAGTCATTTTTGACATGTTTAACTTTTACATTCTTTTAAAAATGAACCTGCTGGAGTGAATATTCCTCTTAGGGCAATTAGAGGTGCCATCAGCTTGATTTTTAGTATATTTTGTGTTTCGACTGTATAGGAAATTACCTGTGAAATTGTCAGAAAGTTAATTCAGTTAGCAAAGAACCCCCTTCAGGTAGGCAGAGGTCAGTAGGTTTCCAGCCAAGGTTTGAATACACATTGCCTGCACCAATCTTGCTGGAAACACAGCTGCTGCAAGGCTCAGGATCCTTCCTGAGGGTCCCAACTGGCAGCAGTTGCTCAGAACCAAAATCCATCAACCTGTGCAAGGAGAGGGATGACAGGATTGGGGCTTTAGAGGCAGATTTTTGGTGTGGAGAACCAAATATAGCCATGAACAGGTTTATGCTTCCAACCATGGTCAGGCTGGTTCTGGGAGCAGCACAGTGTGGTCAGGGCACCACTCACATCTTCTCCTTTTGGGAGAGAGCAGCTTTTTCTGGTTTAGCCTCATCCAGGAGGAAGGAAGGTGTTTGGAATGCTGCTGGATTGCTCCACATGGCAAACCCACGTGTGGTAAGTGAAGGTCAGCACTGATCTGAACTGAAATGGGGTTTCCCATGGGATGTTTGACCACGTGATAATTTGCTGTTCAAACTGGTTTTGAAATTCAGATGAGTCTCCTCATTTGGGCATGGTAAGGATGTGCATTAGGCCTGGCTGTCCCTGCAGAGACCATTCCCTTCAGAATTCATGGAAACTGCAACCTGCCAGTGGCTGAGGTTTTCCCTGGATGAGTCTCTGTGCATTTATGTCCCCCAGCACCTCAGAGTCCTGCAATGCAGAGCTGGTCTCCAAAGGGGTGACCCTAGAAACACTGGCTTTTGGGGATGTGCCCCCTGAGTCACACTCCTTGATGTCAGGGTGATGTCAGGATCTCTGAGAACTCAGGCCATTAGTCCACATGCTCTGCCCTTGACTGGCACAAGTGCACTGATAGCACAAGAGTTGGTTCTGCACGTGGCCGAGCTGTTGTGCCCATTTAGAGTCTTCACAACATCACTTTATGTGCTGTGTGTGGGGTGATGGCTCTACCCTACAGCCAGGCAAGAGATGACACTGAGTGGTGCCATGTAATGAAAGTGACTGCCAGAAATTTGTGGTGTCATTAATTACTGTATTTTAGGGATGCCTGTCAGAATTAACCCTGTGTGCAATGAGTATGCACAGATGTAAGATACATGAGGACACTTCCTCAGAATGACTTTTTTCCCCTTGAGTTTTCTATGACTTTGAGTAATCTAGAATGGCCCAGAGACCTGATTTCCAGAGTGTCACTTAATGCACATCTAGCTCTGGATTAATCCAGGGACAGGTTCAGGCACTTAATGGACGCCTGGCTAACTCCTCACGGCATCCAGAACCAGTTCCTGTGTCTCAATACTGGACTTTGCCTTTTTTTTCTCTCAGTTTCCACATTTCATGGAATCACCGAATTTTTTGGGCTGGAAGGGACCTTAAACTCATCCAGTCCCACCCCCTGCCAGAGACAGGGACACATTCACTATCCCAGGTTACTCCAAGCTCCATCCAGCCTGCCCTTGGACACTTCCAGGGATCCAGAGGCAATTCCAAGAACCTTTAATACATGATCCATAGCTTTTAATACAGTTTAATACATGATTAAACAGATTGTTCCTGCTCTAAGAGTTCCTGGTGCTTTATACATGACAAATGCTGTATAAACACCATCTATATGTGTTTATGTGTTTTTCTTCACCAAATGAATGTTGTCTTTGTAAGAAGCTGAAATCATTTATTGCTTCAGTCTGAGGAAGTTCATGTCCTGCCTGCAGCAGACTGATTTAAAAAAAAATTATCCAACAAAGCACAGTAATAAGTCTGGATTCCTGTAAGATCCTGGTTTGCCAGACAGCTCTAACTGAAAGCCTCTGAAGGGAGACGTCCTCTGACCACTCACTATTTGTATAAAATACTGACAATGAGACTATCAGATTCTTCTTCTAATGTACTTATAAATATTTGGATCTTTCATATTTCTTGAGAAATATTGGGCCATTTTGTCTTCCCTTTGCCATAGAACGAGGGGGTTATTAAAATGAAAAACTGCTTTTTAGCCTGTAGTGCCTTGGTTGGGAAGATTATTTGTGCATATTTTCCTTGCTGGTGAGCTGGTGTATATTCTATAAAGTGCTGTACTGTGGTGGTGATTCCCATTTTGTTGCTTTGCTACAACTTCATCATTCCCTTCCAGCTTCACAGATAAATTTATATCGTTTCTGACAGCTTAAAATGTTATATCCTTATTAACCTTTAAATTTACGCTTTAAACTGGCCTGGTGGGATTGCATATGGAATGATTTAGATGATGCTGGAGAAAATTTTCTTATCCAATAACTGGTTTGAGGAGTTGTTCTGTATTCATTAGGAGATTGTGTTACTGCGAGGAAAGTTGTCATCACTTGTGGTGGTGCTAGAGAAAAGGACATGATAACGTTAATGCTCATTAGTGGAGTTGTTATGAAAAGGAGAAATAGAAAATAATTTCCTTTTTCTGCCTTCCACAGTATATTGAAATCCATGGAGTTTGCACCATCTGAAAGCTCTGGTGCGCAGGTACTGAATTTACTTTTGTTTTCTTACTTATTCAGCGTCTCAGTTGATTAACAAAAATTTTGTCTTGCAATTCCTTGGTGTTGACATCAACATTTTCCTGTTGATGTTGAGGCTTCTGGGTCCATCCTTGATTTTCTTGATGTTTTCTTATGTAAAAAGCTGAACTGGACTTTGGGTTTTTTTGGGGTTTTTTTTTGCCTGTTAATTTCATTTAAGTGGTCAAGGACAAAGCGATTTTTCAGCTGTGCTGGAGTGGATAAACCAGAATGTTGTGAAGTTGAGTCATTTAAAGATACTGGAGTTGGTGTACAGGCAGCACACTGTGCAAGGACTTCAGCATTTTAAAGTATTTGTTAGCCTTGAAATTTTTTTTTCACAAAAGAAAACAAACCTTGGAGTACTGAGAAGGCTCTGCTGTTCCAGCAAATTAATCTTAATTCAGTTTAAAGGTTATGAATTAAATTCCTGTTTCTGAAGTTTGAACTGAATATCGATATCCTGGGATTAATTTTCAATGGGTTTTTTAATGATCATGGGTTAGATATTTAGGGGAAAGTAAAGAGCAGGTTACTCTGACTGATGTTATTTTGAACAAAGTGTCTGCTGAAGCACAGCATGTCAAGAAAATGCTTAGCTTGGGTCAGTTGACCTAGAAGGAATAATATAATCTTAACTCCTGTTTTAATCAGATTAAAAGAAGTCTACAGCTTTTAAACTGAAAGCGTGCCAGGACCATTTAAAAATAAGTAGGATTAAGAAAACATTCCGTTACACATCTCAAAATAATACAGAATTGATGAGTGACTTAGAATGAAAATTAAAGAGTGAATCTCCTCCATGGCTCCCACCAAAGCCCAGAGTGATTCCTGCTGATCTGTGCCCAGCGAATTCCCTCGCTGCCTTCAGAGACCAGTCGAGCACTTGGGGTTTTTTTAATTTTTTTTTCCCTCTGAAATCCTTGTTAGTGCCTGAGTGAGATTCTCAACCCTTTGAGAAACAAACCTCCCCGGTTTGGTTTCCTTTAGGATGCATCCAAGCCGCTGGAGGTGCTGCTGCTGGAGAAGAACCGCTCGCTGCAGTCAGAGAACGCCACGCTGCGCATCACCAACAGCGACCTGAGCGGTAGGTCCACACAAATTTTGGCTCTTCTGGTGCCTCTGCTGTCCTGTGACGGGAGGGAGGGCTGAGTGAGAGCTGAGTGTCTGAGCTAATGCATGGCAGGAGGATTAAGAAGCAACAGGAATACTGAGTAACGTTGGATTTCTGTAGTTTTATAGACTGGATAACGAAGTAAAAGTTAGAGAGTCTGTAAAGGTTAAGGAAGAGGCATTACAGGCTGTACCAGTGTTGGAGGCTGTCTTCTGTTTTGGGAACAAATCCATCTCTCCCCCACACACAGTGTTATGCAAAATGTTTGCATGTAGAGCACAGTCTTCCTGTCTGATACACTTGGATATACCACCAGCAGGTCAGCTTGGGAAAGCAAAATCCTTTCTTTCCAGCGAAGTGTGTTTGCTGTTTGGCTTTCCTAATGTGGGCTTTTACATCTTGTGTGCACATTTTTTAAATGGCAAGTAGTGGAATTTCCAGATTCTGGAATGATGGTTTTTGCAGCTGGAAGAAAGTTAAAAGTTGCCACTGGCCCTGGGATTACTGAATTCTGAAGTGTTTTATGACTTTTAACTGAGCGATCTTGGTGCATCCACCTAATGGTTATTCCTTTATTCAAATTGGTTTGTTCCAAAATGTAAATGTTTGCTGCATTTGGGTTCAGTCAGGTCCAATGAGTCATATCTTGAATGAGAGACAACAGAGAGACTTGCTGTCTGTAACTGCATTTATTTAACTGTATCACTGCACTTCATGTAACTGTTCTAGTGTTAATGTCTGTAAGGGGGATTCTCCAGGCTGCAACATACAAGAAAGGTGCAAACATGAAATGCATGTTGTTTGTTTTGGGGGCCTTGTTTGGCTTAAAAAATTTTCAATCATGGAAAAAAAAAAAAAATTAAAAATAAAAATTAAAAAAAAAAATAAAAATAACCCAACAAATGAAAACAAACCAAAACCAAACAAAACCAAAACTCCCACCACCACTCCATTGGCCCGTGTCAATCTGCACTTTTTCCCTTTGCGGGGCAAACTTTGCATTTTTTTATCTTGGTTTTTCCCTCTTTGACCCCCCATAATGCATTATGTTTGACCTTCCTTGTAGGGTCAGCCAGGAGAAAAGGGAAAGACCAGCCTGAGAGTCAGCGTCCTGCAACCTTGCCGGCCTCCCCTCCTTCCCAGTTGCTCCGCAACGCGGGGGAGCAGGCTTCCAATACTAATGGTACACACCAGTTCTCACCAACGGGTTTAAGTCAAGACTTTTTCAGCTCATCCCTGGCGAGCCCCAGCTTACCCCTGGCCTCCACAGGAAAATTTGCACTAAACTCTCTCCTCCAGCGACAGCTAATGCAGTCCTTCTACTCCAAGGCAATGCAGGAAGCAGGAAGCACAAGCATGATTTTTCCAACAGGTCCATACAGCACAAACTCCATATCTTCCCAAAGTCCATTACAACAAAGCCCGGATGTAAATGGCATGGCCCCATCTCCCAGCCAGTCAGAAAGTGCTGGGAGCATCTCTGAAGGAGAGGAGATAGACACGGCCGAAATTGCACGTCAGGTGAAAGAGCAGTTGATCAAGCACAATATTGGACAGCGGATATTTGGACATTATGTGTTGGGACTGTCACAAGGGTCTGTGAGTGAGATCCTGGCCCGGCCAAAGCCATGGAATAAACTGACTGTGAGAGGCAAGGAGCCATTTCATAAGATGAAGCAGTTCCTGTCGGACGAGCAGAACATCCTGGCTCTTCGCAGCATCCAGGGCAGACAAAGAGGTAAGAGCTCCCCAGCCCCCTGCTCCTCTTAGCTCCAACCATTCCAAACCAGGAGCTTCTCCATCTGGGGCCATTTGTGCACTGCTGCTGCTGCTGCTGCTGCTGCTGCTGCTGCTGCTGCTCTCACCCAGGTCAGGTGCCAGGTGCAGCAAGTCCAGCTCTCCAGCCCTGCTTTGCAGCACTCAGGCAGGTTCGTATCTCTGCTTATGCTTTTTTTAGCCACTGGCTGGTGCCTGTCAGCAGGAGCAGCAGGGACACTGCCAGCCCTCACTTCCCAACCCCTCCGTGCCACAGCTCAACACGGAGCAAAAAGGGTCAGCAGCTACTCGGGGTATCAGCCCTCAGAAATACTTGGGAAATTTTATTTGAGGTTGTTTACTGAGACCAGGCTTTTGTTGTGTCTTGTGTGATTATGTTTTTACCCCAAAGTGTTCTGACAAAATAGGGTAGGTGATGCATGAGATGAGTAATTAAAACACAATCCCAGTTTAAAGCAGCTTTGCATATTTAAGGCAGCGATTTTACAAAGTAACATGCATTTCATTGTGATTCATCTTAAGGCTGAGATTTACATTTAGAGAAACTGAAAAGTGAGTTGTTTACAGTCAAGAAATATTGGAAAGGACAGGCAGGGTTTTCCTAGATTTTGTTTAATTGGAAGCACACACTGTTAGATTTATAATCTGTTCTTCCTTTTGATGATTGTACTTGAGGGGATTATCTGCCCATCTTTAACCTCTTCATTTTTGGTATCTCTAGACATTTATTTATATCTGTCTAATCTCCTTTCCGAACATAGCTGTAATCTTTATTAACAAATCAGCCAGCCTTGCTTCTTCCCAAGTAGCCAGTTCCTCCTGCTCAGGGGCCCGAGGGGCCAGGAGAGCTCAGGGCCAGGCTGCCAGCTCCTCATGTCACACAGCCCGTGATGTCAGAGCAACCATCCCCTGATTGTTTTGTTCTTACCAAACTTGTTTTTCAACAGAGAATCCAGGCCAGAACCTGAACAGACTATTTCAGGAAGTACCGAAACGAAGAAATGGGTCTGAAGGTACGTCACAGGCAGGTGTTTTTCTTTGCAGTCAATCCCTAGGAAGTGGAGTGTGCTTTAGCTGTGTGTTTCCTTAAAACTGTGCAGTTTGATTCTGGCCTGGAATCTGATAGAAAAACAGACAGTAAGTATAAAACAAACCATGGGTTAGATGAACACTTGGCTTTTTCTAATTCTGCTGCTGCTGTACTAACATAACCCTGTTTGGATAGTTCTTCCACTCCCATCCTCCCTGCGTATGCAGATAAAGACAGAGAAGTGATAGAAGTGGCTTTATAAAGTCATCAGGTCTATTGAAATGCTCTCTTTGATATTTTTATGGTTTTGGAGGGAGAAAGTTGCACTGTTATAACATCAATTGCATACTGCTTCTGCTCTAGATTTACTTCTTTCTTCTTATGCTGACAGATTCCACTTTAATACACTGCTAAATTAGTGTGATGCTTAGTTCAGTATTACATATGAAAAAAACAACAAGATAAGTGAACATCAGGTCCATAAATTATCACTGAACAGGAAGTCTGCACATTTTTATTATAGATTAGTTGCAGAATTTTTCTTTTAGTAAGACCAGAAAGAAGGAAAATCAAAAGCAGGTACACCAAAAGTCTGTAGTTATTTTGACTCCAGTCACAAATTACCTTGCTTGCTTACAAACAATAATCTCATCATGGAAAATGCAGTTAAGTGCAGTAGCACTCACAGTTTTCTCTCCTTTTCTTCCCCTTAGAGGTTGAAAAACAGAACAAAACAAAAAAAAAACAAAAAAACAAAACAAAAAACAAAGCAAAACCAAACAACCAAGTAAAAGCTCTTAGCTGGAGAGTACTTCAAATGGTATCTGCGTTTAAATGACTCTTTCTCTTAAAAATGTCACCTCTAGAAAGTTAAAAATTGTTTTTATCTAGTTACTGTTTAATTCTGTTTTGGGCTGAATGTATACTCATCCTGCTTTGCCTAGTAGCTGATGCCATTTTGAAGTTGATTCCTAGGCTTATGTTTTTAGCTTTCTTCCTTTTCCCTCTGGTTCTTTTCCCTTCTGTTTCCTCTCCCCCTCCAAAAAAAAAAACCAAAAAGAAAAGAAAAAAGAATAGATCTATATATATTACCATAAAAAAGGAATATATGACCACCTGGTTCTTCCTCTGATGTTCTCACAATTCCAGGGCAGCCAGAGACAGGCACAACGAGGATATTTTGCTTTTTATTATTATTTTAATTTTTTTGAGTGGTGTTAATGTTGATAAAGGTCCTGTGCAAGTTGTCCTCAGGTTGTGTTGGCCGTGCATCATATACAGTGTGTCTTTGTGTTATAAAAACAGCCAAATGAGAGTTTTCCTGGTGTCATTAGTTTTGTTTTCCTCCCCAGGTAACATAACCACACGAATCCGAACCACAGAGTCTGGCTCTGATGAAGCCATCAAATCCATTCTCGAACAAGCCAAAAGGGAGCTGCAAGTACAGAAAACAGGTATGGGCTCATTTTGTCTCTGCCTGCTTTTACTGCAGAATTTAATTAAAACAATTGCCATGAGCTTTCTGGTCAGTTAATTATATTCTTAAAACATTCAGTGTAGGTTTGAAGAGTTTTTTGGGGTTGTTTCTGTCTCTGTAACATCCCAAGTTAAGGTGGCACATGTGGGGTCTCTGCTCTGCCCCTCTCCCTGTGGGATTTCTGAGCACCTTTATCCCTGTGCAGAGCTCTGAGCTCCTGGCTGCCCTCCAGACCTGCAGCAGTCACTGAGGGGAGCCTACAGAATCCTTTCTTCTCCCAGGTTGCTCCTTGGAAAGGGAGCAGCTCCTGCTTTCTCTCCTCTTCTGTCTCACTCAGGCCCCAGGGACACAACTGCATGGGAGAGGGGCTGGATGGGTTTGTTGGGATGAAGGTCACACTCCAGGCAGCAATTACCAGTCCCAGCACTGTGCTACATCCTGTACTCACATAGGCACACTCAGTCCTGACTCTTAGATGACTTTATTTTTGGTTACAGAATATATTCAGTGAATGAACTAGCAAATCCAAAGCACATTCCCTTTCCCAAAAAAATCCCTCTTAGCCTGACCTAAGTCTAATTTCTCATTTTATGCTGTCATGTAATTAATATTTCTGTCTCGTCCATAGCCCTTTCAGCTTTAAGAGTTCCCAGTACTGCTATTGGGCTGAAGTAGAAATTACTGTGCAATACTTATGTTTCATTTTTTTAAAGTAAATACTGATTTACAGTTTTGGATAGTTGTCTTTCAAATGATAACTAAGTTAATCTCATGGCAGAGTATAAAACAATAGTTAATATATGATCTAAATAATATGACTTTATGCAGGAAATTATTACATAGAGAAAAATACAGGCTTTGTGCAGGAAACTGCAAGAATGTTATTCAGTAGCATGTTTCATCTGAGAGTCTCAGACTTCCTTTCAAATATTAATTTGGCCCTCAAAACTCCCTGTGAAACCAGCAGATAAAACCGCAGAGAGAGTCTCGCTGTCTTTTTTTCCTATTTCTTAGCTTTTCATCTGTTTTACAGCATTTGACAGGAAGGAATGTAGGGAGGCAAATTCAGAAATGCATTCAGATGAGCCTTAGTATTACTGGAGAGATAGACAGCGTGCTGCAAATCTTATTTCACTTTGAGGCCACTCCGTGCAGTTTGGGGTTCCCTGCTCCCACCTGGTGCTTCACTTTCCCTGTTCTCTGCAGAGCAGCTTTCAGAGGAACTGGTTTCCAAGCACTGGGGACCTCAGTGGAGACTGAAATAGAAGCAGATGCCATTGCAAAACCTCCTGGCTCTGCAGAGATAATTCCCCACCCACGTTCCAGTCTCTGCTCATCATCTCCAGTCATCTGCTGCAGCACAGCCACCCAAATCCTGGCTCCCCACTGGAATGCTGCATTTGGGGGTTATCTCTGCTGAAAGCACCCATGACTCCACCCTAGAGCTTGGGATAAGGGAGAGGGTGATGGCCAGGTGTCAGCCTGGCTCTGCTAGAGCTGTTTATTTCAGTGCTTGGGACCATGGAACAAGCAAACAGGAAGCAGGAGCATATTTAGTTTGTCAAGTGAAATAATGATGATGATGATGATCTCTTCCTAAAGTTCTGCCTTTGTTGTAATTTGTGTGTTGTGTTTTTGAAGTTAAAAGGTCTCACCTTATTTATACTGTAATAGTCTGTCCAGGTGAATGCAGCTGTGTTCAGTTCTGAGTGCGTGTTAAATTCATTTGTGGAGAAAAGAGTGAAGTGAAAGGTTAAATAACTTTGTAAATGCAGCTATAAAATGTTATTGACCACGTGGGGGTGGGGGAGGAAGAGGTGAAGGCTTGATTTTCAAAGGCATTTCTTTGAAAATTTTTACAGTGGAAGGGCAAGTGATCCCAGACTTGTGCAGCTGAGTCTGTGCGTGCAAACATCCAGCACTTTGGCAACTCTCAAAATTTTCCAGTAAAGAACTTTGGAAATCTTACCTTATTTTGAGAAGTGCAAATCTTTGCTTAGCAAAAACTCCTCCCTCCCATCCAGAAATGTATTTCAGCCCCCCCCCCCCCC